TATGTAATAGCAATAACAATAAGTGTAAAAAAAAATAAAAGTCACATATAAAAAAGTAGTAAAAAACCCCCAAACATTTTTAAGTCCCCCACCACCACGTTTACGCACATATAAACGTAAATACGTGTTCGATGCGCCAGCGCGGGAAATCGACAATTGCGCTACACATGTTACATATCATCGTGAACGTCAGAGGGAGAGCAATAATTTTAGGGCCATCAATCACTGATAACACTAAACTGATGAGCGGTAAAAGCTTTTAAAGCGTCGCCAATGGCCAATTTTGGGTATTGTAGTTCTTTGAGGTTTCGCGCGCTCGCGCTCAATTTTAAGGCTTGACATGTTTGGTGTCTATTTACCCGACGTGACCCCGTCTTTTATATTTTTTTCAAAAAAATTGGGTAATAATAAATGTTTTATCATTTAATATAGGGGAAACTGTTTTTGTTTAAAACATTTCGATAATTTTTCCTTGATATATTAAAAAATAAAACCCCCCAGTGGCGATTAAATACCACAAAAGAAAGCTCTATCTGTCCCCAAAAAATGGTATAAAATTCATTTCAGTACAGCATTGCATGACAGAATAAATGTCAGTCAAACTACTGCAGCACTGAATACTGAAAAATGGCCTGGATGGGAAGGGGGTTTAACACCCCGGACTTCAAGTGGTTAAAGTATAAAGAATTTTTGCACCTCCAAATACCACTCCAAAAAATTGCATTTGCTGAGACTACGTTTCCTGAAGTAGGTGACATGAGTGAATAGTGAATTGGTACCATGGTGTGCAGGGGAATGCTAAATCCATCTTTTGTTATCATCACATACTCGTTTCCCAACTTGAAGGAGACCTGTAGTCAATCATCAGAATGGGCATGGATTGGAAGATACAATACAGTTGCCAAATACAATTTTGTGTGACGCAGAGGGCGGGCTGGCTCCTGCAGTCTACACAAAGGAGTAATGGTGACAACACTGGCTGCTGCAGTTGAACTGTCTCAACAGACTGGGCTTCTGCTGATGGTATTATTTGAGACTCAATTCACACCAGGGCGGTTGCGGATCAGCGCGGTTTTCGCGCTGATTTTAAAAGGGAAGTTTGGGGAATTTTTCATTGTGTTTCAATACTGAAACGCAATAAAAAAACACCTAAAACTCCGCCGATCAGCGTGGTTCCCTTGAAAGCTGTATGGAAACCGCACTGATCAGCGTGGCAGAAAAGGGTCAGGGAGCAATTCGGGCAGGGGGCAGTTTGGATCGCACTGAGCCGCACGGTCGAATAAAAGGTCCCCATAGCAATGTATGGGATCGTTCATGTTGGTGGATCCGCATGGCCTAATCCACGCGCCCGAACCGCACTGTTGTGAATGCGGCCTGACATCAGTTTGAGACACTGAGATCATTCAAAATTAATTGACAGGTGCATTTGTCCTACAGTTCACCTCCTTATGACCTACATTTGACCTGCTTAAAGTGGGTAGACACTTGTACAATAGACTTGTATGGGAATGCAAAACTCACTTGAAGTGAACAAATTTTGTCCCCACAGGCCTACAGTTAAGTAAACTAAAATGAAAAATACAAAAAAATGTTTACAAAAATAAAGTTAAATAAACTAAAATGAAAAATGTACATTTAGCTGTACATTTAGCTCTACTTGCCCAAAGCAGGGCTAAATGTAGAAAGCAACCACCCGCCTGGCGCCCAGAACTGCATCTCCTGGGCATCGGGAGATAGGAATTCCACTCCCCTACTGCCCCTCTACTCCCTGCTGCCCCAAGGCCGGGCCTTGGTTGGCCTTGTGGGAAATCCGGCCCTGTGTGCCCAAATAAAATATTGATTGAGGTAGAGAAGTATCTGGAGCAGGCATTTTTTATCTAGTCTATCACCTACTTTACATATTCATACTTTAACTTATCATGCTCAATGTTTTCCTCCAGGGTGGAAAAGGCGAGCAAGGTTATGATGGAGCACCGGGGCTTCAAGGTCCTCCGGTAAGTGGAAAGTATCTTTGTTTTCTAAATGAAGATTTAATAATCTGTTCTGTAGATTAAGTGTTCCAGAAATGAAATAAAAGAAAGGCGTCACATACCTGGTAACAGATGTTTCATGGGCAAGGAAGTAAGTTCAGTAATGTGGATATATGTACCCTAGTTGTTGATAATGCAGTTTTGCAGATACTGGCAGAGAAAGGATGTACTGAAATATCTCACAATTACATCCAGTTAACCAAGTGGCCAGAAGGCAGAATTAACCTTGTGTTTCTAGACTTTTTAATTTCTAGGTTAAGCTGCTATTGTATATACATGGCAGCACTACAATTCTGGCCGATGTTGTTCTCCAGGCAAATAGCTAAATACACAGTGTTATATATATTATACATACTGAAAGTGCCTTACCTGTCACAATATTTGTAACTTGGTTCATCTGAATGCATAGTTTTACATATATATAACTTGATTCAGTTATGCTTGTGATCTAGGAACCCGTGGCAGAATGCATAGTAAGGTTGGCGGCCTAACTCTTCTTATTGCATTTAGGCAATTCTATCTGGGCTCTAGTAAACAGGAATAAGCGCAGGCTGCCCCATAGTGATAGAAATCCCCTTTCATTAAGTGCAATAACCCATAGCAACTAAACCAATTTCATATTTTTCTTGTTTCAGTATGTTAAATGGAAATAGAATTAACTAATAAAGGTTATATCATTTTGTATTGAGGTATTGCACCTTAAATTGGATACTATGAAATAAGTTTGCAAGCATACTTGAGTGTTTTAGAAATGGCATATAATAAACCCAAAACTAAAAATCACCAGTGGAAGACTTCTTACATGAATATATATCTTCACCATTTTACACAGATTATGAGATGGTTGTGCGAGGTCTTTTTGAACATGTCATGAATAAGTACCAGCTAGGGTTTGCATAATGAATTCCCATAACTCAATGCACTTTTAAAATTTGTTCAAGGTGGCTTCCATTCACTACATACAAAATACAATTTTTTTTTAAACAGCGAAAATGTAGGAGGATCAGAATAAATCCACTTATGCAAGATAGACTCTTTTTAGTAGTAAGAAGTTGTTTACAGTCTCTTAAGACCTTAAGGGTTATTCACTAACTTGCCGAAGGCAGCCGAGTGAATAACCGAGCCGTAGTGAAGTGAGCAGTACGACGTTCAGCTATTCACTACAGCTCAGTACAGCTGATTTCAGCCATACATTTCTTTAAAAAAGAAAAACAATTGGGCCGAGCTAGCAGTGACAGTTAGCTCCTCCCAACCGTTTCCTATTGGCCGTCACCTGCTAGAGTCTTCCAGCAGGTCCCGGCCAATTAATAACAACTGGGCGGAGTGCGGCAGACTGTGCCCAGTTGGTATTGTTTAATGTCAGATCAGTGTCCCCAGGTCATTTGGGGACGCTGATATGTCATTACAAACGGGGCGGAGCCAGTCGTGAGATCACTGCTGGCTCCGCCCAGCTGTCATTTGCAAGGCATATGGCCAGTCTTTGTCTGCTTGACCCGATTCGGCTCAGTCGAGCCAAAGGATATGCTTTCGGCTCAGCTGAACCACTTGGCTGCCTTCGGGAGCTTACGGGCCATAGTGGATAGCCCATACAGCAGCCCGTCAGTTCGACTGAACCGAAGGGCTCCCACAACCGAAGCTAGCCGATGGATCAGCTGAAGCTACGGCTGGATCCTTCGGCAGCTTTGTGGATAGACCCGTTTCGTTTCAGAAATATCTATTATACAAAAGAGTGCCCATTCTGGGGTCAAGGGCAAGTAGTTAACCAGATATGAAGTGGCATACCGTGTTACTGCGAGCCAAAATTGCCAGATCTGGGGACATGCCCTGAATGCATCATATAAATCCGCACACGATTGTCCTCATTTTAAACAGGGAGAAGAGGGACTTACGTCCGAAAGGTAAATGTAGTGTCGGTATGTATATAAATGGTGGAAAGTCTACCATTTTTTGTTACATTGTGGCTTTCATTGTACTCCAAGACAGCCAGAAGGAATTTAGAAGAACATCTGTAGGGGGAGGGAAAGGGAACAAGAAGAGGGAAGGCACAATTCTATTTATTGAGACCGGTGGTTGTTAAAGAATAATCTATAGGCATCGTATAAGATGCATGAAGACTAGTAATATTTTTAAAGATTTTTTATTGTGGAGGTAATGTAGGATCTCATTGTAGGATAATGGTTGTTTGGTGGCAGTGTTTATTAAGGTCTTAATATATTGGATGCCCTCACAATGCCATTATTTGAGAGTAGGTATCGCTGTGGATTTGCAAAAGTCAGGTCAAGTGGAAGAAACAATGTGGTATGTCTGTTTAAAAGGCAACATGTACAAAGCTTGTGCAACTTTATTTTATTGTAACTTGCAAATTTCAGGAAGTGGCAGCTGTATGATGGCTGGTGACATAGTACGATAATGAACTAACTAATCATAAACTCATAACTTAGTAACAATATTTGATGATCTCATAAGCTTAGTTAGTTATAAAGCTACCTCCATGTTTTATCATAAGTGTCAATGTTTTTTAGGGCCCTTCTGGTGGTTCAAAGGGACAAAAAGGTGAATCAGGAGACCTAGGAAAAATAGTAAGTATTGTTCATCCTTTTTGTTTGATACTGTGTTTTTCGTGTTACCATTAGTATAGAAAGTACCACACATGTGGTAATATGAGTAATATATTTTTTCTTTGTATGCATGAAAACAAAAAGAGGAAGTGTCACTATTAAAATAATTGTCCACTTTAAGTCTGTGCAGTATTCTTCAAAGTAGACTAGTTAAGAAATTATTCCTAAATATATCTGAACTTTTACACCCAAACCTGTTTTCTTTGCCTTGCTTACTTCCAATAGGGAAAACCTGGGAAGGAAGGGAGAAGTGGGTTCCCTGGTGCTGAGGTTTGTAACAGTTTTTGCCATACACACCAAACTTTTGAAGAGGAAGAATTGTATTAGCGACGTAATCTCTTCTTTTCTTACAGGGTCCTTCTGGTGATCGTGGTTTTCCAGGAAGTCCGGGCAGAGATGGGGAAAGGGTAAATAATAATTGCATGGATGATTTATATAAGATGTGTGCACTAGCAGGGTATAAATATGACTTTATTTCAGGCAAGAACAAAATCCATTGTTGCTTGCTCTTATTCATTCGCCTCTAGCTTCTTTCTTCTTATGTTTTTTATGACGAGGAATTCATTTCTCTCTTCAATATGTTTTATTAGGTTTTTGTGATACAAAGAATTCAAATAAACAACAGAAACAGTCGTGTGGGGGAGCATCAAAATGTCATCTGGAGAGTACCTTATAGGCCGCCTCTTGTGTGGTGATATTGCGAGAGCACCTAGAGATGGCATCCCAGATTGATCCCCATTCCTCAGGGGGTCTAGTATGGCGAAGATCCCGTTGCCAATTTAATACATATCGGTGGGTGGCCGTGGAGGAGAGAGCATTGAGCTGAGAGTATAAGAGAGAGATGAGTTTCGGGGAATTAGGTGTGTGGAGGCAGATGCGCTCGAAAGGGGAGAGAGTCAAGGGGGTAGCGGGTTTAGGGAGGAGGGATTGAATACAGTGTCTGATTTGAATATATCGGAAAATTTCTCGAGGTGGTGGTGGTTGAGCTTTAGTTACTATGGCATCCCATTGGAGTAATTTTGAGTTTTGTAGGAAGTTGAGGGTGGTGTAGCCTTGTGCGTGCCACCATGTAAAGGCCAACGGACTGTCCATCGCCGGAAGGAACATAGGGTTCCCCAGGAGAGTAGTAAGGGGTAGGTGCAGGGAAATTAAGGCAGCTGCGTACTTAGTGGAGTCCCATATCCGAAGGGCGTGGGTGAGAATTGGGCTGAGATGTGAAGGACGATGGGTGGGGGGGAGCCACGGGATAGAGGAGAGCGGGCATGGGTGTACATAAGGGATCTCCAATAGGGTCCAGAGAAGAGGATCTACCTGAATGTGGAGAGCGGCAATGGGCGCAATTTGTGCAGCCTGGTAATATTTCTTGATGTCAGGGACCCACAGCCCCCCCTGGCGGCAATGACAGTACATCGGTTTCCGGGCTACCCTTGGACGTTTATCACGCCATATAAAGGACATGATGCTGTGTTGCATTGATCTAAGGGCAAAGTTTGGAATCGCTACCGGGAGGGTGCGAAAAAGATAGAGCAATTTGGGAAGAAGGGTCATTTTGACAGCATATATGCGGCCCAACCAGGAGATTGGCAGGGTATTCCAGGAGGTCAAGAGGTTTTTGAGGGAACGGAAAAGGGGTATATAGTTCGCTGAATATAAGGAGTCATAGGACTGGAATTCATTTCTCTTTCATTCATTTAGGTAACAGTCATCTAAATCCTTGTTTTGGTAGACTGACGATTACATTCATGAAAAAATGTGGGGTTAGTCAAAACATGGCAGTTTGTGCACATTACTTGTCATGTTACATAGTACCGAAGTGGTATGTGTATTGTCTGGAGAGAGCAGTGTGGAGGAGAAAGGGGAGTGGAAGACAAACTGCAGGATGGGTGTGCACGTTCAGGATGGATGTGCAAGTGTTAACTCTGATAGGATGTGCCCTGAGCTGCTGCATGTGCACAGGTTTACATGAATGTGCAGCAGCTCCTACAGGCTGCTGTCACTTAATGGGAGAGGTGGATTCAGACAGTATTGTCTGGATAGTTTCTCAACACAGAGCTTAGCCCTGCCCACAGTATATTACACTGAGTTGCAAGCTTATGGTGCATTTTTGATTACAGACGTACATTACAAAATGTACTCCTGTATCATAAGGAAACTAAAAAAGCAAAAAAAAGTGTACCCCATAGTTCTCCTTTAAGATACACAGTCAAGTCAAGCAAAAAGAAGCCCTGAGGAAGGAGACCTTACTCCCTGTAATGCTTTGGCTGTTCCCCAGCAGCTTAACCAAAAAGACTTGAAATAAATTAATGCCGTGTTCGACTGTCTGTGCTAGCTGCTTCTCACCACATACTCACAAATTGAATGTCTGAAAAACAGTTCTTTTGGGAGTTGAACAGCTTAGAACCCCAGTGCGGTTCCCAAACATCACCACACATTGTGTTTCAACCGGGAAGACAACTAACTAACATAATCAGAACAGTGCTACCAACACACTAAAAGACTTGGGCTGTGTTGATGGCTGTGAGAGATTTTTCTTGGTCAGGGTAGAGCCTTCATGACAGTACAGGCATTTATGTGAATGAACATCAGACTCAAGAAAATGCATAATGCAAAATATCTTGCTATTGGGTTGCTTGAATTGTTTGCACCCCCATTGACTTGGCATGATGGTAAAAAAATTGTTCAAATGCAGCAGGATAGTACCTGCATTTTTTTCTAAAACTTAAATCAAAGCAAAATATAATATAATAATATTTGAATGGCAAATATAGCAATACTTTGATAAAACTAACAACAAAAACTAACAATTGCACATCAGAAGCAACAAATAAACATCCATATACACATTCCCCTGTACTGCATAGTTGCTGCAAACGTGTTCAGTCTCATACAGTAGCATAGTGCTCTCAGTTTTGATGACACACATAAGGTTACTGTATAATTGCCTTATTTTAGATGTGTGCAGCCCACAGTGTCACTATTTAGCATCACCAGTTATACTGTTTTATATTTTTTTGTATTACAAAGCTGTGATGTACTAATATGTTCACACCAAAAGAATTGGATTAGCAAGCATTATAGTGACATATTTTAGTTGTTTTGCAGTACATGCTTTAAATACTTAATTTGTACTGACTGGAATGGTGCAATGCAGGTCAATGCACCAAAAAATGCAGCATGCAGGAATTCTGTAGGTAACTATCAGTATTTTTAAACCTGTTTTTCCCCTGACAGTGCCTTTGCATATGCTTTTCCTCCATATACAGTATTTGCAGTGTGTACAATGCATCGATCAAAAACAGCACCTGCATCTGGTCCCAAAAAAAAATACACATGCTAATGTGCCACACATTTGTTAACAGTTCCTGTGTGGAAATGGCTAAAAAGCATACAGAGCTTTTTTATTTAAGATTATATATAGCGCTGCCAATTTATGCAATGCTTTACATACTATTTAGTCACATCAGTAATCAGTGAATCCCTATAACTTACTTTGGCAACATGTCTTGTAATGCTTATTATGTTTGATTTAGTGAATTCATTGTTTTTTTTTCATTTGATTTTAGGGTCAAAAGGGTGATCGTGGTGTCCCTGGACCTCCTGGTGAAGTAAGTTTTTAGTAACATCTCTAAGATTAACAGATTTGTATTTGCTGTTTTTTGGTAACAAGCAAAAATTAGGACTAAATTTGTTAGTTTTCAGAAAGACATACACATTACTGACTGTGTTTGTGTCCAGCGATTAGATGTTTTTCTTTCAAAGTTTTTATAAAAGATAGTTTTCAATCGTACAAAGAATACAACAAAAAAGCAAGAATGTTCCCCAGTGAGGGCAAAATGTGCAAAAGAAACATGAATCATATACCAGCGTAGTAAAAGTGCAATAAAAATATTAGCATCTTCATGAGATAAATCACTTAAGAAAAACTAACAGCATGTAGCAAAGAGTATACTAGATAATACAGTACATGTGCTCTTAATTGGAATATACAGTATAACAACAAGGCATGCAGAATGTGGTATTACAAAATCTCACTCGGACTCCAGGGGATACAGAAATAGAAAAGAAGAAGAAATCAGGAACATAAAGAAATAACAGGAAGAAAATAGATATCTAGGTATCGTAGCCCGGGTTCCCATACTGCCTCAAACTGAAGTCGTCTATCTTGTAGGATACTGCAGTATATACATTTTCATGAACCATGATCCAGTTGAGTTTGGATTTGACGTACGTAAAAGGAACACGTGGTGCCTCCCAGGCCCTGGCAATAGAGATTTTAGCTACCAAGAGGAAAAAAGAGAGAAGTTTGCCTTGCACCTTTGAAACTATCAGGACTGGTTTATTCAATAGCACATATTGTGGATCTCTCAGAACTTTAATTCAAAGGACCTTAGAAATCAAGTCAAAAAATCTATTCCAGAAGGGCTGTAACTTGGAGCATTGCCACCAAACATGAATCATGGTTCCCTGATGATCACAGCCTCAAAAGCACAGAGAACTGGTTCCTGGAACTATCAATGCTAGTCTAAAGGGCACCAAATACCAGCGAGAGAAAAATGTATAATTAGCTTCCAGTAGGGAAACATTCAACAGGCCTGGTGTTAAGCGAGAAGAACATTGTTGCCATGTGTCAGTAGGATGGAAACACCCATCTCTGTCTTCCAGGCAGACATATAAGGTAGTTTAGTGAATGTACCCAATTGCAAAACATATAATAGAGAGGTTCCATCTCTCTTTCCACCCTTACCAATACACCAACGTCCGTAGTGAGTTAACAAAGGTTGCCCAGCCTTAGGAGCCTCCAAAGAGCAGAGAAGGTGTTGCAATCATGTATGACAATAAGGCAAAGACAACGGTTTACGATGTTTAAAAAAATCACCAATTCTATACAATCCTTTGTCAATCCACCATTGGAAGGCTCCAGGCTGGACACCCGGGGTAAACATTGGATTTCTAAAGACAAATGAAAGAGGGGTATGAGAAGAGACCAAGTTGCCATGTTTACACAGCCTGTCCCACAAGGCCAGCGAGTGACACAGGGTAGGAGCTAGGACTACCGGCCTCTATTTTGACGACATCCATTTCAATAAATCAATAGTTAAAACTAGGGATGAACATGATTCCACAAAGACCCAGTCAAGAACAGTACCAGAAACATAGATGGACGAGAGTTGTGTCAATTGTGCTGCCCTATAGTATAGTAGAAAATTGGGGGGCCCTAAACCCCCAGAGTGATTAGGTTTAAAAACAATCAACTGAGACATTCTAGGACGTTTATTAGCCAAAATACATTTTATAAACAATGACTAAAATTTCAAAAGGTCAGCTCGTTGGACAGGGATTGGTCATGCATGAAAATAATACAACATTTTTGGAAGTCATTTTGGCAGCATGAATACGATCCAGCCAAGGCAGGTTACAAGAGGACCACCTGTACATATCTTCTCGAAGTTGTTTAAATGGCGGGGGATAATATACACTATATAATCGAGAAAAAGAAGACGTAAGCTCAATCCCCAAGTATGTCAGTGAATCAGTCTGCCAATCAAAAGAAAAATATTGGGTAAGCCAGGACCACAAGTCAGAAGAGAGATTGATATTAAGGGCCATAGATTTGGAAGCATTGACTTGGAGACCAGAAACTAAAGCAAACTCTTCCAGTATACCTAAAACATTAGGTAGTGAGGATAAAGGGGAGGTCACAAAGAGCAGCAGGTCATCCACAAACAAGGCACATTTATGTTCGCTAGCACCAACCAGGAGACAGAGTCAAATGCTTTTTGTATCGAGAGTAACATCCCTTTCTGGGAGGGACCTCCATCCCAGGACGATTGAAGTAAAGAAATAAGATCAACTGCCCTCCTGACTAGGTTTGGCAGCGATTACATTTTTAAAATGTTTTGCAATGGTCAAGTTCATTACAGGAAAATCACCAGCAGCAAATTTACCCATAGCCTTGTGTGTAGAAAATGTAACTGCTGCACAATTATTTGCTGTCAGATACACTTATTTTTGGCCAGGCACATGTGATTATGCACTGAGCATATGCCGCTTGCATTGTCTATGTTATCTCAGGGGAACAATTATGATTGGTCAGAGAAAAACAAACTCAGGTGATCAATTGTTCTCTAAAGACTGGTTGGTCAGAGGCTGACTATAGAGGTTTAATTGGATACTTTTTTGGGTATATTATTATCGATCCCTGATTTAACTGTCATTGGCTGGATCTGGTGATGTCTGTCTGTCTATGTCTAATGTCTGTGGTAACCTTGAGGTTGGCAAATAGATGAGCAGATGTCTCACAAGGAGTTAATGGTAATAAGCCCATCCTGCACACATAATCAAACTTTTTTATAGATATATATATCAGCATGTGGTCACAGAGAGATCATCACATTTATGATACCTTCTGAAGCTTGAAAACACTTGTTATTGCCCTCTAGTTAATGGCTACATGCTTGTTATTATCAGGTCATATGGGGCTGTCACAACTGAGCTGTGAGTGTGATGGTCTTGTCTTTGCATATACATATCTCCTAGAGGTTAATATAGATAGGTAGTGGCATTTATAATGTTATGTCTACTATATCAACTGAGCTCTAGAGGAGGAGACTAAAGGGGATATCTGTAAATAATTATTGCCTTATAGAACTAGAGTCTTTCTCTTATCTAGGTAATATCTGCACAAAAGTTCAATCTTTTCTATGTATTTATGTTGCTGTTGTTATACCAAAAACATGTTGGTATGTATTGTATGGTGCATTATTACACTGCTCTTACACTGCTCTTACACTGCCAGGTGAACAGGAAACAGGGAAAGCCATGCAAGATGTAGCGTTAACCATAAAGGAATGCATCTGTGTTAGTTTCATGTCATTAAAATATATGCTAGAAGCTTATCCTTTGCTTTCCTGTCTTAAAAAGAATATTGGGTGATACGCCTGTCTTATTTTCCTCTTTTATGTAACCTTTGTGTTCTTAATAAACTCAGTTTGAACAAAATAAATGCTAGCAGACAAAATTGTCTGGTAATTAGGAAGTAGCTTGAAAATCGTGGAAATGCTTGTTGCCACTCATTTTTACATTTCTCTGTTATCTGTTACAATGCTTAGAATGGTTAGACTTTCACTAAAACATGTTAAGCTGGGGTTAGTGAGCATTCATTTATCCAGATATAAAATACTTTATGTGGGATCATTGCTCACACTTTGATGATTCTAATCCTTCAGGTGTTTAAAAATTATTATATAATTTCTAACTTACCAGGTCATTGGAGGTCAAGATCCAGTTACCATAGGACCCAAAGGAAACACTGGACCCCCAGGATTATCAGGAAGCAAAGGAGAGCGTGGCTTTCCAGGTTCACAAGGTCCACCTGGCCTCCCTGGTCCTCCAGGTGAGCTTCATATTTGTTGATTAAAAATAGGACAGTGTTTCTTGATACATTATACCATTCATATTCCTGTTACATAAATCCTCATCAGTTCATGGGACTTTACATTACAAATACATTTCATCTGTTTTCATCATGATTTTCTATAGTAGAGCAGGAGAAGTCTAGACCCCCTGTCAGTTTTTAATTTCTGTCTGTGATCTTCCTGTCTGGTGAAACCAATGCAGAGAATGCAATAAGGTAAAAAACGATCAGCCTTTAATACTACTTTACCTACGTCCAAGTCTCAAATCTCTGGCAGACTGAAACAGGTTTCCCTCAAGAATTTCCCTGTATTTAGTGCCATCCATTATTCCTTAAATTCTGACCAGTTTGCCAGTGCCTGCTGATGAAAAACATCCCCACAGCATGATGCTGCTTCCCTGTGGGATGGTGTTCTTGAGGTGATGAGAGGTCTTGGGTTTGTGCATGTTCCTTGAAGGCCAAAATGCTAAATTTTAGTCTCATCTGACCAGAGTACCTTCTTCGACATGTTAGTGGAGTCTCCCACATGTCTTTTGGCGAATAGCAAATTAAGCCCAGGTAGTGAAACGCGTGAGAGGCGTTGGCGTGGTGTGAGAGACTTTTATGCTGATGTACATGCTGATCATTATTCTTCTGGATCTGTCTTTTTGATATTTGCATGGATTTATTTCAATACATTTTGGACAACACTTACTCCGGTCTTTGTGCGGCTGATCTTTTGGAGACTGACTTGGGAAGTGAGAAGCACACTACAGCCTGCACCCAGAGTGGGAATTTACTGCAGCTGAGGTTAGAATAGAGTGGCGAGTCTTTGGAGCTCTTTGAACATTGGTGTTTGCTTATTTGTTTTGTAAGCAATGGCTTTTTTTCTGGTCACTCTCCCATGAAGGCCAGCTCTGTGGAGTGTATGACTTAAAGTGGTCCTATGGACAGATACTCCGATCTCCGCTGTGGAGCTTTGCAGCTCCCTGGGGTTATCTTTGGTCACTTTGTTGCCTCTCTAATTAATGCCCTTCTTGCCTGGTCCGTGAGTTTTGGTGGGAGGCCCTCTCTTGGCAGGTTTTTTGTGGTGCCATATTTTTTAATGATGGATTTGGCGTGGGTGGGGTGTTCAAAGTTTCAGATTGATAACCCAACCCTTAACTGTACTCCACAACTTTGTCCCTGAGCTGTTTGGAGAGCTCCTTGGTCTTCATGGAGCTGCTTGCTTGGTGGTGTTGCAAACTCTGGGGCCTTTCAGAACAGGTGTATATATACAGAGATCATGTGACACTAAGATTGCGCACAGGTGGTCTTTATTAAACAATTATGTGACTTCTGAAGGTTAATTGTTTGCACCAGATCTTATGTAGCAAAGTGAGTGAATACAAAGGCATGCTAATCCTAACTGCTTTGCTGAAGAAAGCCAGTTGTTTGCAGATCTTATAGCTCAAGCTTGTACACACATCTGAATAATAAGAGGAGAGACTAAACTGCTAATCCCTCTTCCTCTCTCTCTCTCTCTCTCTGCTCTGTATAGCTCCCTATGGACTTTCAGTTACAGAGAGACGGTCTAACAGCAAACAGCTACTGCTGTGCTGTCTTTGGAAAACCTGTAATGCACTGTGCAAGCAGTGCCATAAGTGCACCCAATGGTCAAATAAAGTTTTATTAATAGTAAACAATACAAAAAGGTAAAACATTAGTTCAAAAACCAGATAAAAATTCAAACATTATAGTTTTCCTTTAAAGAAATGCAATAGGTATTTTTTAGCACAGCCCCTTACATATGTTTATTGTTATATGATTTACATTAAGGTGGCTCAAAATAGTTACAATATTGGTTAAAAAAACCCCCAGAATAAACTATTTGTTTTATCTTTAATTACAGCAAGATGTTACCAGTGACCATCTTTAATCCTTTTTCTAGGTACCTCCTTCCCAGGTCTTCCTGGAGACCCTGGTCTGCCAGGGGAAAGGGGACAGAAAGGAGATGAAGGTCCACAAGGAATATCTATACCAGGTTCCCCAGGTCAGGAGGGACGCCAAGGAGTTCCTGGTCCTCCAGGACCACCTGGACCACCTGGACCATTCACTCCTGGTAAAATTATATTTACATATGTAAAAAGATTTTGTGAATTGCTTACACGTTATATGAAAAGGGGCTCCACAAAAGAGTAAATACAGTACAATGTTTAAATTGAATCCATTCTTAATCTTAACCTCTGTGGTCTCCTCCACTAGCTAGTACATCCTGTAGTGACATATGAGCCAGTGGGAGGAACAACAATGCACGATGAGGAAAAAGGTATTCAACACACCCAAAAGTGTTGGATACCTACAGCAGCCAGGTATCTGCTATGCAGCAGAGTTTTAAGACACCGCCCGCCAGAAAGGTAAGTATACAGAATCTCTTTTTACTGGCTGGGCTTCTTTTTTGGACCCTAAAGTGGGAGGGTCATCATAAGGAATGTTTTATTTTGTGTTTACATTATAATGTGAAGTTTTTAAAATATATTTTTTTAAATGTAACCTATTTTCTACTTTGTCTTTTTACCATTTTACAACAGTATTTATTTCATATGTGGCCCTGTTTTGCTATTTTTTTGGGGTTTTTTTACATAGCTGGAGTCTGTAAACCAGGGGAACCAGGCCTTCCCGGCATTCCAGGTGATTCAGGACTTTCAGGAGAAAGAGGACAGAAAGGTAGTTATGACATAATACATTAAATACTAGCACTTTGACAGTCTGCCGTTGACTTCCTCTATCTATTATCCTCCTTTCTTAGCTATAAAATCATAGTATTGGCTGTTTACTTTAAAGGGTTTCTAAACCCTCCGTTTTTTTGCATATATCTACTGCTAGCAAGCAGTAGATATATGCAAAAAGTAAAAAAAAAAAACCACTTTAACAGCGGTTTAAACTTACCCCGTCTTTGCCACGCGCTCCCGTCCGAGAATCCGAAACTGTTCAGGCGGCAGCAAAGTATCTCGGGGCGGGCACATGCGCAGTTCGGATTTTCGGCCGGGAGACGAGGAGAGACGCAAGGTAAGTCTATGGGCGCGTGCACCCGCATGCAGACACCGTGGGATCGGAAGTGCCAGCAAAGACAGAGGAGTCAGCGCTGGATCGGACACCCGCCACAGCGCTGGAGAGAAGGCGAAAAGGACAGGAAAGAAGAGGAAGATCAGATTAAGAGACATCATTTAAGGTAAGTGCTGACATTAACATTGGGGGAGGGGGGAAATAATTGACTTTAATGTCACTTTAACTGTCTAAAAATATCTGTTCAGTTTTGGGTGAATACCAATTGGTTGGTCCACCTGTAAACTTGTTTTTCTTTTTGGAAACAACATAGAAAGCCCAGATTTTTGTTAAGTTGCCATGCGGAGAGGGGGTATCACAAAACATCTGCTGGTTTCATGGCAACATTTATTCATAAATGAAGAATCTGGGAGAGAAAAAACACCCTTTGTGGTTTTGGTAGACAGGTCTACATCTATGGCATGGAGTAACACTGTGATAATGTGTGGAAAACACACAAGATATAATATAGGTTGGTAGATCACTCACCTGGTAGACCAGCTTTCTGTAAATTAAATGGGGTGGTCTTGGTCTTTAAGTCAAAAGCTTTGTCTTTTATAAAGAATGCAAACAAATGTAATTATATTGAGGAGAATTTATCAAAACTGGAGCAGGCAGAATCTGGAGCAGTTGCCCATGACAACCAATCAGTTTCTATTTTTCCTTTTCAAAGCGTAACTGAACAATCTAAAGAGAGAAGCAGATTGATTGACATGGGCAACTGCTCCAGAATTTGTCTGCTCAGATTTGATAAATTACCCTCAATAAAGTTTTTATCAATTCCCCTCAATTCCTTTTAGTACAAAGATGTTTTAATAAAGCTAGTGTGAGCCTTGGGAAAATCAGGGAAAAAATTTAAGGTTTCAGACACATTTACATTTCATACTGGGGAAAACTGGGGATCCACAACTATTTGACAAGAGTCTTATAATTGAGCTCTAATAGCTGATCTGTGTGAGTGCTTATATGCCCTACAATGGTCAGGTTTATCTTAACTACTTGCCATTGTAATTAATTGGCTGGCTGGCTGACTCCTAACGGCCAGTGGGCGTTTATAAATGTCCTTTGTTGCTCCCGCTCGCTTGCGTCCACCTGCGCGTGATAGGTAGTGGGTAAGTTTGATACATACATATATTTGTTACATACAAGCGTTAGGGCGGCTATAGAGCTGCTTAATCCCTTGTAATGGTGCGGGAAGGGTGTGGGAAGTGTGTGCCCCCCTCCTCCACCGCCAGCTATCCTGGGCTCCGCTGTCATCCATGCGGCCCACAATGCACACTTCAAGCCGCTGATCTCCCCTCCAATCAGTGAATGTGGAAGCCATGTGTATTACATCAATTCCTGTTTCAGTGTGTCATGGCTGCTGTAGCAAGAGAAGATGCTGATGAAGCAGGTCTCTGCTTTTTGGGGTCCCTAGGTGACATTAGCGGTCTGATGGACCCCTGATGTCTCCATAAAAAGGACCTCTCACTGTATATGTGCTATCACACATAGGGGGCTCGTTAGCATTTTTTGAATTAGAATTGTTAGAATTTGTTTTCATTAAAAATATATTTATTTTATACATTTACAAAACTTTTACATTTAAAACAACCATCATTTTGGTTTATAATACATCTCTGTATAACATACACATTGTAAGCTGGTGATTTCGGATAGTTTACCAGTCCTGTGCAAACTTCAAACTTTATATTGTACAGTATACTGTGCAGTCCATATCCAGTTTTTTCCACGCCTTAGAGAATATTGTGCTGGGTTGTTTAGTAATGTAGAAAACCTTTTTGAAAGGTAATTAGTTATCTATAACCAGGGAAATAGGGGATCCCAATACAGTTAGTCAATGTACGCCCAATGGACCGACATTCTAAAACTTTGTGTACTATTAAAAGAAACTTGGAATCATATTTTCCTAATGTTATATTCTGTTTGGTAAGGAATGGCTATATATATGTATACACAGTAATAATATATATTAGAGGTACTTTTTTATATTTATATTTATTTATTTATTTTTATTAAATATTTTTATGTTATACTTTACTGCTGGGGGCTTCGGTGAAATATCAGTGGTCTAAACAGACCCCCGATATTTCCCTTTTAAAATGGAAAAATAGATCGAGGATGCAGAGTCCTCAATCTCTTTTTCTGCAGCCCCTGTTATCAATGAACAGGAAGCCTCTATGATGAGTGCTCGTTTCCATTCATAAACTGTTAAGATAGTATGAGTTACTATGTCCACAATCATGAATGAACAAGAAGTGATGAAGAGCACAACTGGGGACACAGTAAGCATACTATGTACCTCAGTTATTTACAAACACTCAGCTGATCATTGAGTGGTTGTAAGCCACTCTCCATCTTGACTTGCCTATCACCGGAGCTGAGTGGGGCAGTGCAGCTGGAGAGCTCGGCCTCTAGTGACAGTCAGGTCCACCCTGCCCCGCTCAGCATCCTGAACTGTCTCCTCCCCGCTCGGCCTCCTGAAACCTTCTTTTCTTCTTGCTGGGCACCAGTCTGTGTCCGCTTGGATCCCCGCTGTCTCTACCGGTACAGGCAAGGGAGAGCAGCCGGCCTCTGAGGGGACACAGACCAGTGCTCAACGGGGAGGAGAGAAGTAGTCAGGATGCACAGAATTTTCAGCCCTTATGGTATTTTTTAACTTTTTGGGGTGTGAATATTGAAGTTTTCAGATTTGTGACTCCACATTCCATGCAATAGAATTGTTATTTAAGAGGGAATGTATTGTGGTTGTGTATATACTTTATTTACCTATAATGACCAGCATTAAAAATACACTTTGGAAAAAATACACAGTATATTTATAGAATTGTATCTATGAAAATGACTTATGCATATTTGGTATATTCATATGCAGTCAAACCCCATTTACAGAGCTCAATAGTTCAAGCAGAATTGTACAAACAAGTGCACGAGTCAGAGCAGAGCTTCACCCTCCTCTCCACTTAAGTTGAATTCAATTCAGACGGAGACAGAACGTTTTGAAGGATATTGTTGTGCTTCCTCTCTAGAAAATCCCTAGTTTTTAGGTAAATTTGTGTGATGGGTGCACCCTATCTTAATTGATCATTTACAAAACAGTAGTTTTGTGTGTGTATGCACACAGCTAGCAGGTATCAGTATAAAAATATAAATAATCAGCTCATTACTGCAACTAATATGTGTCATGTAAAATGTATTCAGGTGACAAGGGAGATACATGCTACAACTGCATAGGAAATGGTGGCGAAGGACTGCAGGGAGACCCTGGTCCTCCTGGTCAACCCGGAAGCCCAGGTAAATACACCTGTTAAGATCTTAAATACTAAAAAAAATAAAAAAATTGTATAGTTTGTAATTATGCATCTACCTTAGGACAACCATACTTGCATATTATATACTCATCCATTGCTTCCTGCCTTTCAGTGTTATTGATTGCTACACCTAACATAGCTTTTGCATGCTTTACACGTACCTGACAAAGCATTATTTTCTCAACAGGACAGCCTGGTTTTACTGGGCCAAAAGGTGATCCTGGTCTTCCTGGCTTGACAGGTCCTTCTGGGCCCCCCGTAAGTTTTTTTGTTTGATTTGTTTTGCTGTAGAAGTGAATAAATTAAATGAAGTGTAATTGGACATTGCTCTTAAACTGCCAAAAATCATACCACTGCTGACATTGATACATTTGTATGTCTTCCATTATTAAAGGAGAACTATGAGGTGAGTGCTTTTCACTCACCTCATAGTTCTAGCCGACCTGTGACAATGAGACTGTCACAGGTCGGCTCAGTAGATCGGGAGGTGAGCGAACACATACCGGGTTCGCTCGCCTCTCGATCCTGTCACAGCTCTCTGTCGTGACCGGGGGAGGGGCTGGATTCCCCTCTCCCCGCTCCGATCTGCCAGCGCTGACTGGCGGAATGGACGGGGGAGGGGGCGGGTACAGCTGGCTCTGCCTCTAGATAGACAGAGCCAGCTGTCACTCACGCAGCTGGGCGGATCCCGTCATCTAAGTCGGGATCCGCTCCGGCTGCGGCGTCTCAGTATACCGCGAGCTGTGGCTCGCGGTATACTAAGCTTAGGGTAACGGGAGGACGCTAGTTTGTGTCCTCCCGTTACCCTAAGGAGAACTATGGGGAAAAACACTGACCCCATAGTTCTCCTTTAATATATTGGATAAGTATACCATTCAGTTCAGTTTGGCTCTAAAGCTATGTTTGCCTCAATCTACCCTATAATATGTATTGCACAGTGTTTGTACCAGAAATTCCACCTCTGAGTATGTTTTTACCATAAAAATGCAGCATCTGCTTAGTGCTTCTGAAAATTCCAGCACTATCCAAAATAATAAATAATTTTTGGTGTGCTGCTTACAGTCAGTCTGGACATTTCAAAGAGATGATGAAGCTTTAGCCCTGAAATTATATTTTTCTTTATTGGGATGACTTATTGGCATGCCACAATGCATTTAAGCCTTAAGGTGGCCATACCCCTAACCATTGTATAATTGTTTTTGTCCCGACATTGAGCGCTCATCCGATTTTACTTCAAATAGCCCATCATGCACAGACCTATGTAGTTTTCGATTATTGTTCGTCGGCAATACTAACTGGACGAATTTCGTCGATCGACAGAACAGATTTTTTTTTTGCGCTCGTGAAGTGTTCATCTTGCGATTTTTGTTGTACAAAAACACCACTAATCCATGGATTTTCGTCTGTTTCGGCGAAAGTTTTCTAGTCTGCCCGAAAGACTAAATTTGGCCAGTTGTACAGTAATTGTGATTGTTGACTTCCCATCAACTGGCCGATCATCAGAAGAAACCACGATCGCGGATGAAAATCAAACGATGTATGGGCACCTTCAGGCTACTCTTGAGAAAGACTCATCTTGAATGTCTGCCTGTTATCAGTAAAAATGATCTAGTGTCTGGTATCTGGCATTGTTTTGTATCAACACAATATAAATATCAGCAATATGTTGTTTTTCTATTTTTAAATTGTTTACTTTTCAGGGACAATTGTCTCATTAGTTAAGATAAAGTGTATCTAAAGTCAAAACAGTTTCTTTTGTAGTTTTGGATACATTGATAAGTGGATAGAACGCCTGTTAGGCTTTGATTACTGTCTATGTACTTGCCGGGGAAATCCAAAATCTTACTTTTGTTACCGGAACAGAAGTAGAGGGAAAATTATCTAATGGGAACACCTGCTCTGGTGACAATTGTCTGCAAGTGGATTTCCTTTCACTTCTTTTCTCTTCCCATTGTGTCTACAGGAAGGACAGAAAGTAAGGCAAATCTCCCCAATGGCGCATAGATAGAAATAACTGACAGCGATTTCAGCCAGCTGCTTCTTTATCCAAAATATAAAAAAGGTTTTGGCTCTAGATATGTTTTCAATTCTGATAGGGGCTGCCTACAACAGAATCTTTTTGTGGTTTGTAAATTACGGGACCACATTTTTGTTCCATTTTACTCATTGCATCGTTCACCCCTGACTGTAACTAAGCATGCATACACCTGACTTAATTGTGCATTATGACACTTGAAGTGGAACTAAACTAATCTCCCATCACTTCCTTGCCGGGCATCTTCTCCTGGTCTCCTTCTGGGTTCGTGGTCTTTGGCCATTTTGATTGACCAACCAAAATGACATAATTCCCGCACATGCACACAGATGTTCATTTATTCTTGATATGAGGCATGCCAGGAATGGACATGCGCAGCTCAGTGTACATACTAAAGAAGACTGCAGACAGGCAGGTAAGTTTGATATATTGCAACAGAGACATAGGGGTTGATTTACTAAAGACAAATAGTCTGTTCACTTTGCATGGGAATTTTCCCTCTGCTTATTGTAGGAGGTGAAGCTCTGCTGACTTCTATCATCCAGTCATGTGCAAGAAGAAATACAATTTTTTGTATTTATTATTTTGCTCATGATTTGGTATTCTTTGTAAAGTGAATTCTTACCACATTTTTACCGTGTTCACTAAGTTAACGGAAAATTCCCTTGCAAAGTGAACAGCATATTTGCCTTTAGTAAATCAATGTTATAGATTGCAATAAAGAGGCTGTAAGTAGCAAGATGACACTTGGCTTTTCTTTATGAAAATGTAGGTTGTTTTGAAGTGAACCATTGAACTATTGGATTGAATCTAATACATTAGACCAGTGGTTCTCAACCCGTATAACTTCAGGACCCACGTTTGTCCTTGGGCAAGTCGCACTACACTGGAACACACTGCATTGCGGTACTGCATGTTCCGATGCAAATGATCAAACTGTGGGAGGGAGGTGTGTTTGGGGTGCCATTGAGATGCAATGCAACGCAATGCACCTCCCGCTCCAGAACGAACAGTAGGTGCGATTGCGTGGTAGTTTGCGATTAAAACACTGACAGACACACACAACCACAGACACAATCTCACACACAAAAACATTCTCACACATATATACACTCCAAAAACATGTTTAGGGGGTCAATATGGGCTGCTGTGCTATGATGGAGCTCCATCCATATGTGCATTGCTTGTAGAGCTTCCTTGCATTCCCTGTAGAGGTGAGCCAGAATGTGATGTCACTCCAGTCACATGAGGGAGCTGTAAGCAAGGCACGTATGGATGGAGCTCCATCGCGGCCATACACCCACCCCACTTCAAGTTGACACTCTGCTGCTGGCAGCATATTTTGAATGGCTGCTTGGCACGAGAACTGTCAGTGCTGCGTTATGGGGGAGGCTGAAGAGCCTCTCACCTAGTGCAGTGCAAGGCATGTGATGACCCACTGAACATGGGGTCGCGACCCACTTTTGGGTCACGACTCACCAGTTGAGAACCATGGCATTAGAGGGTACATAATGGATAAAAGAATTGATGATTTAATTTGTTCTTCCCCACTTTCAGATATACAAATGGGCAGTAGAAATTTACTTAGGAAATAAGAACTTAACATTAAAATTTTGTCTGACAGGGATTTAATGGCATTCCTGGAGGCCCCGGTCGGCCTGGTCCTAAAGGGGATCCTGGTGATGTTATTGCACTGCCTGGACTAAAAGGAGAGAAGGGGGACCCAGGATTCCCAGGACCAGCAGGCAGTCCAGGTTTAGATGGCAATTTCGGAAGGGACGGAATCCCAGGACTTCCAGGTCCTAAAGGAGAACCTGTATGTTATCTTTTTTTCCTCTGTGTCAATGAGCAGTCTATGAATTTGTCATGTGTTACACCTGGTGTCTTGCAGAGTCTTTACCTTTCCATGATGTCCTGAAAATGTGTCACCCTTTGTATTTTATTTACTATAAAAAAGGTTAGAAAATATTTTATTTGAGCTGCCTGCAACAGAGTATCCATTGATAGGCAATAGTGGAGCCATAACTGCAGCCTCAGCATTTTTGTGCTACATTGACCATTCCATTTTAGAAATTCACCTGCTTTTTTGCCTACTGTTTCAACCATACACAATGCTTATATACCTATTTTTTATATTTATTTTTGGTTGTCAGCTTACATATCTCAGAGTCGTCAAGTGTAAAGATTGCCCAATACCATACACATTGGCTGCTGTGTATGAAAAAAATATATTTTCAGTTATAATAATGGAATTAATCAAATAATAATAAAGGCTAAAAAAAAGAAACAAACCGTGAAAATTGCAGTGCTTCGTCACATTGTTGGTCTGTGAAGAGCCAGTTTACACCTGTGGTCAGTTTAGTGCTTTCTTACATTGTAAGGGAGTAAAGTTCACTCTTACATTTTTCGTGGTCAGTGAAAAAGGGGCCCCTTAGATTTGTGGTCAGTGGGAGATGGCTCCACTTGCACAGGTGGTCAGTGAGAAAAGGCACTCTTTAGGCTATTAGTCAGTGGAACAAATTCCCCTAATATCTGTGGTCATTGAGAATACCAACCCTTAAAGATGGCTCAACAGATCATTAGTACCAGCGGGAATTTGTCTGATAGGTAGAAAATAACCTCAGGAGGAACCCTGGTTCCAAAGGTTGGATTAAAGGAATTAATCAGGATGTGAAATCACTTACTGCTTACATACTCCAGCAGTACCAAATATATACATTACCTATATTTTAAGTCTCTTTTATGTTTTAAAGGCTGGTGTAATATAAAGTTTTATATTGTTATATTATATATGTTTTTATCAAACTCAAGTTTAAGTTGCTCTTGAATCTGGAACTGAAAAGTAAATGTTTAGATATACAAAAATTGTAAAGACATAAGTGTGCTATAAATAATGTTATCAATATGTAGTAATGTTTTAAACAATGTTGTTAAAGTTTTGAATTCTATGCATACCTATTTCTCATTACATTTCGATGCTCTGTTTCCTTCTTTGCTGTGCTACATAATGGATGTGCTTTACTGCTCCTTCTCACAATGTAAGTCTCTAAATCAGCCAACTTATTGTTGAGGCCGAGTCAAATACTAAGAGAGGTCACAGGAATTCATTTACAATGTTCTATGTTTCAACACAGTAGCAATTACATCTGTACAAAAATAAATCAAGGCAACTGGACTTGCTGTATTTTTCTTGAAGGCATTTTGGTGAAAATCCGCTTAGCTTTCTGAATTCAAAATGACTTGCACATGTACAACACTTTTCTAGGAATAAATATGGTGATTGTCCCAGCCAACATAATCTGTTTGTGAAAACCAGCATGGGGTCATGCTCCACACATTCTAAACACAGCAAGTCCAGATGAACAACATTGTGTACACAGTGAGACATCTTTCCTCTGCCACATGCAATGCTATTTTAACACCTCTCTCTCTGGGAGGATTGCTGGTTTTGATAAACAGATTATGTTGATTGCAGGAGCATTCACCCTATTTGTTCTCAGATACTTTTTGTACAAGTCATTCTGAATTGAGAAAGTTAGTCAGATGACCAGCAAAACGTCTTCAAGAAAAATACAGCAAGCCCAGTTGCCTTGATTTATTTTTTACAGATATACCATGACCTGGATGGATGAGAACCTTCACAGACAGTAGCAATGACAGAAGAATTAAAACCTTAAATTTGAAAATCACAAACCAGTTGAACGCTGCCATAATAATGAAAAATAAGCACTTACTGGAAATGAGCTATACTTTCCCGTGAATTGTCTATAGATTTTCTTCTGTGCAGCCAAGTGTCTGCCAGACCTGGCAAGTAGGCCTTCACTTTGTTTTGAACTGTGCCTTCAGATGAGTGCCTCCACCTCTAATGCATATATCTATTTACTAATTGACGCGATGATGTACATCTGAGATAACTGAAGTCTTGTATTGGATTTCAGTGATAACCAAACTGTTTTTCAGGACACATTTTTCTCATGTTGTAAATTGTCTAATTACATATATATAGCATTAACTCTCACAAAAAGCAAAAGAACTAGTTAGTGTCATCAGTTGTTTATCTGAATGGTTTATCAAATCCATTATGAATACCCAATAGCTTTATATCATCAAATGTTTTTAGTTTTCTAAACTTCTCTAGAAAAGAGTGTTTTTTTAACCTGATTAATTGCTGTTGGGCAAAACAGAACGTTCTTATTTCCAACACCAATATGATATTGATATAATGGAATTTCTGCTTTCAGGGTGGTCTCGCCTTCAAAGGTGAACGTGGCCCATCTGGTGAGCCTGGACTTCCTGGCCTCCCTGGTGATAGAGGCCCTTTAGGTCCTCCTGGCTTTGGTCCTGCTGGTCCATCTGGTGAGAAAGGAGTGCAGGGAGTATCTGGTCGTCCAGGAGCACCCGGAGCTCCAGGTAATCCGTTTTGAAAGTACTGAAACTGATAGAGCAGTTAAATGCAATGAGTGGTGAGTCCCGGCATTGAGAAGTAACCAGGAATCAGCTTTTAGCAGATTAGTCTTTTATGCTTTTAGAAAGAAGATTTCTCATTGACTGCTGTGGGTCTGCCTCTTGCTGGGTCCCTCCCCCTGTACTGGCCTGCTTACTTGCTCCCCTACCCACTGCCCACCTCCTATGTTCACTGCCCCACAGAGTGTGTGGAGAAATGCTGTAAGAGAATCCTCTATTAAAGCTGCACTGGGAAGCTGCTAAAGGCTGAACAGAGTGCAGTTCCCACTTCTCATGCAAAACCTGAACTTAATAATAAGATAATTAAAAAAATTCATATAATAGAGATCATAAACGCCATTGTATAAAAACATACATTGACATTTCCATTTGCAATCCCTGAATGGTGCATTAAATATTTAGCACAGTTACGCAATATTAAAACCCTTTATATGCATTAATAATAGATAAACTAATATTTTAAAAAGTCTATGTATTTTTTTAAATGACCAATTTCTCTCAATTATGTAGTGATTGATAGTCATGTTTCGTGGTGTGTTTTATAAGGTTAGTAAATCAACCCCATAATGTCATATGACCAAATGAGAGTTGTACGCGGCTGCCCTGGAACTACCCCTTTGCTGTGGACGGTTGTCTTACAGCACTTCTACTTAATATTCTGCAGTAACTGTAATTTTTATTTCACAGCAAGATAGGGGGGAATAGAACTATCCACAATCCTCCCCAAAGCAGGTTTTTGATCCCATATATTCATTTACAGGCCTGCTATATAAAAATGGCATTTACCTAGTAGTTTAACAAGCAATTATTGGGTAGAAATCCATGTAAAATATTCAGCTATTATTTACCAAATTTATGCATTATGCTTGCCTGTTGATTATCACAGCCATTCATTGATCTGCCACTTCCATATTATCATTTTCTTTCCAACTACATTATATATTGAATTATAAAAGTAGGGGAGCTGTCATTGATGACTTTTTTTTTTGAACGTGCATGTTCTGGAATTGTCATCTTAATTCTTGATTTACTCCGATCAACCATAACATTATGACTACTTGGTGGTGAAGTGAATAACATTGATTATCTTGTTACAATGGAAGTGGAGCCATTAGGCATAATATATTAGGCGTCAAGTGAACATTTTGTCCCTGAAGTTGATGTGTCAGAAGCAGAAAAAAATGGGCAAGCGTAAGGATTTGAGCGACTTTGGCAAGGGCCAAATTGTGATGCTAGACGACTGGGTCAAAGCAACTCCAAAACCACAGCTCTTGTGGGATGTTCCTGGTCTGCAGTGGTCAGGACCTACCAAAAGTAGTCCAAGGAAGGCTCATTGATGCATGTGGGGAGAAAGGGGTGTAGTCCAATACATTGGAAGAGCTTCTGTAGCTCAAATTGTAGAAAACGTTATTGCTGGTTCGGATAGAAATGTGTCTGAACTCACAGTGCATCACAGTATGTTGCAAATGGAGCTGCTTAGCCACAGACTGTTCAGGGTGCCAATGCTGACCCATGTTTTGCTGGGAAACCTTGTATCCTGCAATTCATGTGGATGTTACTTTAACATGTACCATCTACCTAAACATTGTTACTGAACAAGTACAAACCCTTTATGGAAACGGTATTCCCTGATGGCAGTGGCCTCTTTTAGCAGGATAGTGTGCCCTGACACACTGCAAAAATGGTTTGAGAATGGTTTGAGGAACACAACAACGAGTTTGCAGTGTTGACTTGGTCTCAAAATTCTCCAGATCTCAATCTAATTGAGCATCTGTGGGATGTGCTAGAAAAACAAATTCGATCCATGGAGGCCCAACTTGGTAACTTCCAGGACTTAAAAGATCTACTACTGACAGCTTGGTGCCAGATACCACAGCATACCTTCAGAGGTCTAGTGGAGTCCATGCCTCGATGGGTCAGGGCTGTTTTGGCAGCAAAGGGGGGACCTACTCGATATTAGGCGGGTGGTCATAATGTTATGGCGATCTGTGTATATACGCAGTAGTTGATCACTGACCTGATATGTGCACATCAGGTGCCCCAAAACCTTATATATCAGATTACTGATTCACCAAGTAGTGAATGATAATATTAATATCCCTGCACATAGAAAACAAGATCTGGCAGCTCTTCTATTCCAGCTGGTTCCTTTTAAACTTGGAGCCGCAATGATATTAGTGTCTTTTGTTAGTATATCGTCATTGCTGGCACTATTTATGTAGCCTAACCTCTTAGTTTGTATTAATACAACAAGACATCTATTTTGATAAAAACAAAAATGATCAATCAGATGTACAGTATTTAGTAAGAGTTTTTGATCTGCTGTGTCCCCTTCCTCCTCTCCTCTGGCCTTTGCATATAGCTTTGAAATGATCTGACTTCCTAAACCAAAACACTTTCAGAGGTGTTTCTTTTCAAATAAAAGTTTATTTCAGTACTAAAAATGGATGTAGTGTAAAAGCAGTTAATGGCTGCTCAGTTCTTTTTGCACAAAAATCTTGATTCTGTTCATATTTGGCGCACTCTTAAATTAAGCGTTAACTTTTGGATTGGTGGGTTAAGCATTAAGGCTGTATTGTCAACACATAGGTCTTAGGACCTAAGTGCATTTCTAGCAGATGGGGAGGTATCATTCTGTACTTGTAGGGTCTTTAAAGGGATAAATGGAGAAATGCATATTACATATGTTTTTTTTTATTTTGCCCTGATATACACTTATGTCCTATTTAGAATGCCTTAAGAGCCATTGTACTTTGAGGGATCAGGCCATTCTAGTGGACCAAGCTTCAGCTATATTTTTTTCATATAAAGGGCTCAGTAAGATCAGCTGATGATGGCTCAGAGATAGTACATTGGTGTCATTCCTGGGGCCAGTGTAGTTCACAAATGTCAGGCACATATCAACATCCTGCTGCATCTCTAATACTGTGAGTTGCTACAAGATTACAATGTTGTAGTCTGATCACTGGGGTTGGGGGGTAACTGTGGAAATGCATCCTTCTGTATGATAACTTCATCTCTGGCTTGAAGCTATTTAGTGAATTTAATATTTTAATTTAGGTGAAGCTTTTCTGACAAATTATACTGTTGCTGTATATTGTGATATGTCAGGAATGTATTCACTCAGACCTGTAGAGATAGTAAAAGGTCCACTTCAAGGGGGCTATGTGATTTGCACGTTGGCCACTGGAAACCCAATGTCGGGCTCCACACCCCAAAACGGAATTTAACATTGAAAGGGGTTTTCACAGGATTAACACATTTTTTAAACTTTTAAGACTTTACAATATGTTACTGTAATGCCAGGATTGAATAGAAAGTATACAGTAGACCTGCCAAAAATATAAATTTTTTTCTTTTAATTTGGCAGTTTTCCTTATAATTTAATGTTTTTTGAAGTGCAATAATAAAAAAAGAAAGAATAACTAGGTTTTATTAAATATATTCTTGGAGCAGCATGGGGCTGTCTGTGACTTACCCTTTCTATAGACAGGATCTTTCTGTAGCTTTCAGCTTTTCTACCCAAGAATGTGTTACAGTGTGTCATTGCTGGTTGTTAGACTAAAAGGATGTGAATCCAGTGATCGAAAGTAGTAGTGAAATGGGAACTATGAAACACACATACCCCACTATAATGTTAGCATTTTGAGTCCCCTTAGAGTGTTTTTTTTTAATCCAACTGCTTGACAATTCATTTGTTTGTTTGACATACCCTTACCATATACAATCACTAATTATTTTATTATATTCCAAGGTGTTAAAGGACCACCTGGTCAGACTGTAACAGAGAAAGGAGTACAAGGGCCCAAAGGTTCTCCTGGGAACACAGGTCCTCCAGGATCACCAGGTAAGGATCTGCACAGTGTCCTCTGTGTTGTATTTGTGTGTATGGGGGGATAAGGTGGCTGGATTTGTTTTACTAGAACTGTAGTCAAAATTCATACTGTCTTGAACAATGTAGAATATAGAAACTATACCTCTTTTCACATTTATATTGCATGGTTATTGCTACCATACTGCACAGGTGTCCTATGAGCATTCTCCTCTGGTCATTAATCAGCATAGAAAGAGATGATACCTGTGTCTTTCCTGAACTACAAGGAGTCTTGAGCTTTTTTATTGCTGCCTCTTCCCTGAACACTGCCCTCTTTTATTTCCACATGTTTAAGTGTCCAGTGATTACTCATCTGATTGTGCACATGAATACATGTTGGGCGCATAATGTCCAATCTTAATACTCATGCTGTTAAAAGACTGAAATAATCTACTAAATCTGGGATCCTTGGTATACAGCAATTCTACATTAGACGTCTGCCTAGGTTTTTCTGGACCCCCTGGGCCACCAGGACCACCAGGCACACCAGGAAAAGCTGGATTAGATGGAACACCAGGACAGTCAGGCTTTCCGGGGCAAAAGGTAAAAAGATTTTGTGAAATTTCCTGTGTTATGGGCTAGCTAATTGTGCTATGTAGCCCCAAATATTTGCTACAAATTGAGTTTGTTTATTCAAAAGCCATAGAACATTTGGATGTAGCATTGTACATCCAATAATAGCATACATTAAAGTTTGTATGTAGACATTAACTGCTACTTATCAGTAAAATTGTAGAATCGCAAGGCAATTCCTCGCTCGGGATTTTGCAAATTAAAGTGTATGCGTGGAATTTTATCTAAACCCAAGAACAAAAATGCAGCTCACCATTCCTTAGATGTAGTGATGGTATTAGTTTTTGTCAGGCCTTTTTCCTATATTTTCTCCTGCTGATTTTGCTGGTATACATTCCTGTCCTGGAGTCACTACATTCACCTACTATACTGTATCTATAGAGAAGCAGCATTGTCACCCTAGGACAGGACTCCAGAATACCTCCCACATCCTCTTCTCCTAAATATAGAGGGAAATGGCTAGGAACAATGGGAACAATGTTACTGATAAGTACAGCACAGGCACAGAGCATAGGAAGTTATTAGATGGCCGTATTTTTGTCAGGAACTTTTTTTGCACTTATCAAGCACAAAAAAATTATTTTATAAGTTTGCTTAACATAATGAAAACTAATTGTTACATACCCTTTAAAAAACACACGCCTCCACCAGCATATGTAATGCTTGCTTCTGCAGATGTGGTAGTCTGAACTTGCTGTCACTGCAGATAAAGCATACTGTAGATTTGTAGAGTGGTTTTCTAAGGCTACTAGTTTCAATCTTTTTCTTAATTTTTTAACAAATGGTACATATTAATGTATAGTCAAGTTACAATACATGTGTGTAAAATCCTCACAAAGACGATTTGGTTACGATTTGGTTACACTAGGTTTTTATGAGAATGATGGTGACTAATGAAAATAACTTTACACCTTTGCTGTTTTGTTCACTGAAAGGGTGACCCTGGGTTTGGATTGCCAGGTCCTCAAGGCCCCCCAGGAACAACTGGATTTAAGGGATCACAATGTTACTGATAAGTACAGCACAGGCACAGAGCATAGGAAGTTATTAGATGGCCGTATTTTTGTCAGGAACTTTTTTTGCACTTATCAAGCACAAAAAAATTATTTTATAAGTTTGCTTAACATAATGAAAACTAATTGTTACATACCCTTTAAAAAACACACGCCTCCACCAGCATATGTAATGCTTGCTTCTGCAGATGTGGTAGTCTGAACTTGCTGTCACTGCAGATAAAGCATACTGTAGATTTGTAGAGTGGTTTTCTAAGGCTACTAGTTTCAATCTTTTTCTTAATTTTTTAACAAATGGTACATATTAATGTATAGTCAAGTTACAATACATGTGTGTAAAATCCTCACAAAGACGATTTGGTTACGATTTGGTTACACTAGGTTTTTATGAGAATGATGGTGACTAATGAAAATAACTTTACACCTTTGCTGTTTTGTTCACTGAAAGGGTGACCCTGGGTTTGGATTGCCAGGTCCTCAAGGCCCCCCAGGAACAACTGGATTTAAGGGATCACAAGGACCAAAAGGAGATTCTGGCTTTCCAGGAATGCCAGGTGCTCCAGGACAAGCAGGATTTGATGGAACTCCAGGACCAAAAGGTACAGAATTAAAGGGTTTCTTTTAAGATTAATCACTATTGATGTGAATGGTATCAAACGTTTCCATGGCTTTCAATATTTTACTTATGTGCCGCCTTTAGTACTACTTTGTCCAGAAATATATAACATTTATATAAACTTTGGGATGGTTGAATGTAGGTGCTTATAACACCTTCACTGTAAGCCATGTGTGTAAGAAATGTGCTGTATGCTTCTGACTCAGTTTAGCCAGTAGCCCAGACAGACCCTCAATTGATGGCGCCGGTGTTTACAAAGATGGCGCCGGTGTAGTCGGCTGCCGTCACGACTGCTCTGCAGTCGTGTAAGCATTTCACTGCATATCATACTTGTACGATTGTGTATGTGACAAATAAAATCTATCTATCTATCTATCTATCTATCTATCTATCTATCTATCTATCTATCTATCTAATTGTATAAGTATGGGCCTCTTTATAGGATATTTCTTAATTGGATGTTTCCCTTCAATGCAAGGTAACATTATTGTTCCTAGCAGCACCATCTTGGTGGAAGTACCCAATGATGTATCAAGTGTGGAACTCATTAGAGTTTACATTAAAACATAGGGGTCTATTCACAAAGCTGCCGAAGGATCTGGCCGTAGCTTCGGCCGATCCTTCGGCTAGCTTCGGCCCCAGGACCCCTTCGATTCAGGAGAACCGAGGGGGTGCTGTACGGGCTATTCCACCTCTGTCTAAAAGGTTACATAGAATTGAGAAGACCTAGTATCTTAACATCTTACTGTGTCTATGTCAATCTTCATTCTCCAGTACATGGGTACATGACATCTCTGGCCAAAAAGTCAATACAAACATCTGATCAGCACTCAACACATTCCCATGTGTATTCTACCTTATGAATGATGATTTCAAATAAATTGTTGTGTTCAGTGGAACCTTAAAGCTAATCTGATGCTAGCCAAACATCCACAAGCGTTCAAAGTGACACTAAACTCACATCTTAAAATTGCATTCAAATACCCTAACTATTAACATAAATGGAGGTTATTTGTGTATAACTCGGCTGTCGATCCTCAAATCATCTCTGAATTCATGCTGACACTGTTCTTCCTTCTAGAGGGTGACTACTTTTGTTCTCCATGTTCCCTTTTTGTGTTTTAAAGTAGCCACTGCTCCAAGCTTGCTCTCGTGATAGACTATAACTTTGATACAAATTAGTAAACTAAACATGAGATTGTAGTCCATCACAGGATAGTGTGAGTGATACACAAATAATGTACATTTTTGTTAATAGTTAAGGTACTTGAATGCATTTTTAGGAATTAACTCCTGAGTTTAGTGTCACTTTAATTTCACAAACCTTCCTATGAATTCATTTTATAGACCCTGCAATGATTTTTGTAATTTATTTTAGGTGACCCTGGGCAAAATGGACAGCCAGGGCTTCCTGGATCACAAGGATTGCCAGGTTTTGGGGGTCAGGGCCCTCCTGGTTCACCAGGGCTACCTGGACCAGCTGGTCCTCCAGGTAAGTCATGGGAGAGTATTTTTGTTTCTATCTATGAACTCAACTTGAAAAATGAACAGTCACTAGGTTTGCTTCTGCTTGCTGACTATTCATGTGTGTCAGAGAGTGAGATCTCCATATACAGATCAGCAAGCAACAGGACGTGGAAGACTTACACAGGGTTATTCACTTAAGGTGAAGAGTTTGGAGAAGGCAAAAAAATAGCATGGTGCAGGGGTGTGGAATTCCTATCGCCCGACGCCCGGGACATGCAGTTTCAGGCACCGAGCGAGTTGGTTTTTTGTACATTTAGCCCTGCTTCGGACAAGCAAAGCTAAATGTACAGCGGGGAGCCACCGCTTGTTTAGTACAAGTGATCTGATCAGATCACTTCTATCAAAACGAGCAGCGGCAATCGTGTCTGCCCGCACCCCCCGCCATGGTTTTCCAGGTCCCCCGCTCTTCTGGGGTACTCGAGACCAGGGCACAATGGCTCAGCCAGAGAGCCTGTAGAGCAGATGAAGAACGTCCATTCTTCGCCTGCTCTGTGTGATCACTGAGACCGTGGCGCTGTAAGTCACAGCGCCACCTGTCTCAGCTGTCAGGAACTGCACAGAACATCTGTTCTGTGTTGGAGGGCAGGTTCCATAAAGAGAACCTGTCCTGTCCAAATTATCACATAGGGAATTGTAATACCCTATGTGATAGGAATAAAATTAAGTGAAAAGAAGTAAAAAATAAATAAAAATGTAACAAATAAAAATTTAACAAATTAAAGTGATAAAGTAAAAAAAATTAAAAATTAAAACCAACCTCACTGCCTCTGCCATCTGCATGCAAATAAACACACGCATAGGACATTGTGCGTGTGCGTTGAGTGCTGCCGCCATTCCATTGTGGTAGCCAGGAAGCAGAACTCTCTTACGCACAATGCGCAATCCTGCCCTATGCATTTTGAATTTCGTTCGCAAATTGCAAGCACTCAATGGTCAGCGTGGTCAGGTGACCCTACTGACCAGTGAGAAGCGCTATTTAGCACAGTCTAATACGTTATGATTAGGGATGCACCAATACTAGTACCAGTGCCGATACCGAGTATTTGGGCAAGTACTTATACTCACCCAAATGCTCGAATATCTTCCCCAATACTGGGACTTAGGACCAGAGGAAAATTTCCTCTGACCGGCAGTGCAGTAATGGAACATGGAGCCAGCTTCCCGTGCAACAAAAAAGCTGTGCGGTAAGTAATGACCCTCCTCCTGGTTTCCTGATTGGCCAGGAAGCCGACTCCTTGCTGATTGGCTGGAAAGCCAGCTTCCCAGCCAATCAGCATAGAGCTGGCTTCCCGTTCAATCAGGTCATTATTCGCCGCCCAGCTTCCTGATTGGCCGGGAACTGGCTCAATGCTGATTGGCTGGGAAGCTGCTTTCCCGGCCAATCACAATCAAGCAGGTCAAACAACATGGAGCCAGCTTGCCCGGCTTCCTGATTACCCAGGAAGCCTGCTCCATGCCAGCGGATTCACTGGTATTGGTATTCGGTATTGGCGAGTAGTGAAAGCAAAATATCGGTACTTGTACTCGATACTGAAAAACCGGTATTGGTGCATCCCTAGTTTTGATTAAACATTTTTTTTGTATTGGGACAAGTAGATTGTCATGAAGGACAAGTAGATTCGGCCCTGGCTTCAGCCTATGGACAAATTGTGTTCTTTACAGATGTCAAAAATAGTTTGCATTGAATTACATTCTATGATGTCTTTTTTGCACTGTTCACTATGGCTGCAATCAGCTACACTGTTTAAAGGGGATTTGACACTTGGCACCAATTTTCCCTAAGGATATCACATTAATGATCAAGTTACTGAAAAAAACTTCCTCTATCAAATATTACAAAGGAAAAATAATTTTCAAGTTACCAAAACTGCTTGGTGCTCTGTTCTATTACCAAATGATCCATTCAGTGTTTCCTTAATTTTCTGAGCAGCCTAAAGCTGTCGTTTATAGCCTGATGGACTGCAGTGCTGATAAACAGCAAATCTGTGGTCCTAGCATCTGTAAAGTATGTCCTATTAAAATGAACAAAGAAAAGAAAAAAAGTGTTGCACTGGAAATGTTATTTCAGAAAATTTATTTAAGTGCCACAACCTCTTTAAACAACTTATTTAAAATAGCATGGTACAAGTTGTCCACATATACTTCAATTACTACATTCAGAAAGGCATCAATGTGGTTGGGCGCATTCAAGACACCTGTATCATGTGATTAAATAAACCTTTGCATCTGTGTATTATTGCACTGGTTATGTATACTAATAATCACCGAAGGCTGGTTAAAAGATTTCCACCACTGCTGAATTAAATTTGAACATTTTGTTTGTACCACCATCTTTTTATGTGAAACCATTATGCCTGGTGCATGTAAGCTACATTCATGGATTCACCAATGCTGATAAGACGCACCTATAGTTACTGAGCATGACCCACACAGCTGACATGTCATGTTATCACCGCGCACCGCACTGATTGCTCCCTTGCTTCACACATGCTTTGCTATAATTAATCACTGGCTGGTTAAATTAATTCAAACTTTGCAAAAGTCTGTTACTAACTGCATGATAATAAACACTTGCATGCCTAAAACATGACTAATGTAATTCTGTGTTGTCTCCTGCACACTGTGTATAAAAAGAAGTAAAATCTCTGACATCTGAAAAACGAATAGGAAACAAGTCCACCCTGTACACACGCATCATATGTATTTGGTTTTAAATGCTATACCTAACAATCCTATTAAGTAAAAAAGTAATAAAATATGAATACAGCTTTTCCTTAAAAATGATTGCGGGTTTGAAGATGTCAGTGTTTTTACAAATGTCTTTTTTGTTTGCGTATACACCCTTTACTAATATTCATTCATTCATATCTTTATAGCAGATGTATGTTTATAGAGTTTGTTGGCATATTAGGTAGCAGTACCCTAGTAAAATACAGTGGGTGCCTTTAGCTACACTGTGACTTATATACAATGTTAACTTCTAGGTAGCATTAAACGATAATTGATAAGGTGTGCAATGAAATTGTCTTGGAGTCTTGGAAATATTTGATGTCAGACTTACATTATTACCACCTATAAGTTTATAATATTCAGCTGCTTAAGGACCCAACTTTTTTAAAAATATTTTTTTCTTGCCAGAAACAACTGTCTCCAGCACCTCTAAGTGTTACAAACAAGAGAAAGTCTCTGAGGGAGACAGTGACCCAGATAAAATAAAATTTATATAAGAATTTAATGAAAACACAGAGGCAGTTTAAAAGTACAGTGTTCTCCGATTTAAACAGCAATTAAAAAAAGTATATTGATTCCTTGTACACATATGGTTTCCATAAACAAGAAAAAAAGAAAGAAGTGAGAAAGGATCAAGTCAGAGTATTGACAGGTTAATAATTAAACTTCATACTTATACACAACCAATATTGCCTATTATAAACTGTATTGATATAGTTATTGTAAACCTATATTGTTCATTTGCTACTAGCCAAGTTTGTCACCAGATTACTTGGCTGATTGCTGGATAGCAGGTAGCTGAACTCCAGGCAGATGTAAAAGGAGCACATTAGCAGGTAGCTCGGTATTCATTAATATTTTAGGGGTTATTTACTAAAGAGCTGAAGGATCCAGCGGTAGCTTCGGCTGATCCTTCGGTTCTCTTCGGCCGCCGAAGCCCTTCAGTTCAGTAGAAACTGAAGGGCCCCTGTACGGCTATTCACTATAGCCCTACAGCAGCCGAAGGTGGTGAGCCGAATGCCGCTCGGCGGCATTCGGCTATTCACTCACTGCCGTTTGGCCCCTATGAGAATGAGCTGCCGGAGCTTCAGCTCAGCTGATCCAGATGTTCAGCTGACCGAAGGCAGCCGATGTACTGCTGAAATCAGCCATACTGAGCCGGAGGGAATAGCCAAACGTCGTTCGGCTCTGTTCACTTGAGCTCGGTTATTCACCCGGCTGCCCTCGGCAGCTTTGTAAATAACCCTGTATATGTATTTTTAAATGCAGTTAGTGTACCTGAATTTGACAATCAGCATATTGCATTGCCTTTTACATAGCAGTACTAACATTGTGATAGGAGGAGAGAGCAGAGAGATGAGCTCATCTAGTACTGCTGCTGCTCTTTTACTGTCCAGTCAGAAAGCTGGTGGGGGGTGGAGAGAATATATCACTGTATTTCTGTAAGTGGCATCATCCACCTGACTGTGCTGTGTGAGGTGGCTGTGTAAATCTCAGGAATAAATGTACAGAAATACAAATCATCAGGCAGGTAACATACCTCCTATATATGCATTTTATCTGTGCATTTTTGTTTTTTTGCCTGGAGTTCAGCTTTAATATAAAGCAATATTTGTACTGTGTTAGAAGATATTTTGCACAGTTCACATTTAATTAAATTCCC